TGATAATAGTGAATAAGAAAGTATTAAAATATATAATTTGTTCTAATTTTCTTTTTTTCGCAGTTGTATTGAAATACTCGACGTGTTTAAAACACTTAGACAACATGCATGAACTATATTATTGAACACAGATTCTTTGTTTTTTTTTCTTCTCATGACAATAATTCATCCATAAATAACGAAAAAGCAAATAGACCTTTAAACAATAGAATTATATTTTCTCTTCGATAAGATTTTTCGTTCGACATTTTATACCTTCTTTTTTTTCTTCTGACCTATATTCACATTCATTAACTATTTTTCATAGGATAATTTAATTTTTTTTTTCTAGAGAATTATCTGAAATAATGCTCAATTCCACATCTACGAATAACTCAATAGAATATTCTAAAATTTTACAACTATCAGTTCCTTTGTCAAAAACAACAACAACAACAATTAATATAAATTCTTCATTAACATCAAATCCATCAACATGGACAATAAATCAAGTTGAAGAATGGCTTAAAAAAAATAATTTTAATGATTGTATTGATATATTATGTCATCAATATAAAATTGATGGTAAACGTTTAATAAATTTAAAACAAAATGAAATATTATCATTAAGAAAAAATAAACAATTATGGTTACAAATCAAAACTTTAAAACCAAAATCAACAATAATACAACTTGATTCATCAATAATAAATTCTCAAAATAATATAATATCAAATCAAATTGAAGATCAACCAATAATAAATTGTTGTTTTATTACTTCAATACGTTCAGATAGAAAAAAAACTTTATTAGCTTTTCTTCTTGCTTTAATGACAATTTTTTTTTGTTCATTTATTATAACAATTGTTGATGAACGTTTACCTGATCCTAAAAATTTTCCACCATTACCTGATCTTATACTTGATAATCTTAAACAAATAACATGGGCATTTTCTATAACAGAAAAATTAATTTTAATCGAAATGACAACACTTATTATTGTTATACTTCTTCATCGACATAGGTTAATAGATATATTCTTGTTTTCTTTTTTTATTTTGTTAAATATAATTATAATTAAATTATTATTTTTAGAATGATTATTCTTCGTCGATTATTTACTATAACATCTGCACTTTATTTTCTTCGAAGTCTTACTATGATTTTAACATCATTACCAGTTGCAACAAAAATTACTGATTGTGAACCAAAAGTTTGTATTATTGACTTTGTTTTTAAATAATTATTTGAATATTTTCATATAGAAATTAATTAATTTTGATGCTCGATTAAGAAAAGCTACTATGATTTTTCTTGGTCAAGGTTTATCATCATTTGGTGTAAAAACATGTGGTGATTATTTATACAGTGGTCATACATGTACTCTCGTACTTGCAGCACATTTTATTAATGAATGTATGTATAAATTAATGAAAATCTATTTAAATATTTGTATTCATGTAATTATAAAATTTAAACTTTGTCCTTTGAGAATTTAATTATGTAAAATATATTTTTTTAAGGTTGACTAATGTGTAAGGATGACATATGCAATTATCTTCGATAAGTAAATTTAAGATAAAAATAAGAAAATTAAACAGTGACATGAAAATAAGAAGAATAACTTACGATGTGAGTGCTAAATATTTACTTTATTAGATAACAAAGTATTATTAGTATTATTCATATTATTCAAAAAAGATAAAAAAAATAAAATCTCGATATATCAAAGAAAATTAACAAATTCTAATTAATATTGTATTGCTTATCGATATATTTTTATTTTTGTCTAAAATTCTTGTTCATAAATTTGATAAGAAAACATAACATATAGCACTGAATATAGAATCTGGATAAATATGAAAAATTATTTCTTGATATTAGTGTTTTTAGTAATATGTTATAGTAGAATATTCACCATGTTTTATCCAATGTGGAACCAAGAAAGTAGTTCTCCTCCGATAATCGATTTCATCTACTCGAAATTTTCAATCACTCCTTCGGAAGAGAAATTTTGTGTCCCTTATATGGATAAACTTTAAAATATCTTTTTACATTATTCTTGTATTCTCATGGTCACTGCGCATTTAGTATTGATCTGCAAACAAAAAAAAAATTATAGTAACATTTACCATAGTATTAAAAATCTATTGCATGCTTTCAGTAGAAAAAGTATAAAATGCAAGGGAGAAGGTGATTTTGAATTTGAAAATAAACTAACACTAACGATGGAAGTTCCTCAATTAACTAATCGTTTTTGAGTCGAGACTATATGCAATAAGTAGGTCGTAATGAATTACGAATAACTGGAGAAGAGTCCGGAACCTTAGTTTATTGCTGCGAAAATATTACATTTTGACAGTACTTGCGAAGTCAATGTGGTTCAAAAAAAAACTGAATTGAAATCGATAAATCATCAGATAGATACAAAAATTCTTAAGTCTATATCGAGGAATCTTAGGTTTTTTTCATTATTGAGATTAAAGGTGTCAGTATATATGGATAATATTGTTTTATTTACGTACTACAATATTTGGTACCGTTAATTTTAACAATTCTATAGTGAAAATTTTCCAGAATAGATGTAAAATTTTCGTATTTATTTGATGATTTAATAGTTCTAGTTTCGGATCATTTTAAAACTGCCAAACTCTACCCCTCAGCAACACTCGAAAAACAAATTTTTTCAGCGTTCTTGAGGAGGACCACGGCATTGTGTCAACAAAAATATCGTCAAATTGAAATATCTCGGCAGTAATAAAAAGCTAAGGAAAGTTGAACTCTTTTCAAAGTGTTCATAGCTCATTAGAATCTACATAATGCACATAGTCTCGACTTAACAACGATTAATTAGTTGAGTAGGATTTCCTTCATTAGACGAAAAAAAACAAAAACTTTCAATAAAACAATTTTCTTTTCTTTTAAGATACTCCACGTTCGTATCATTTACTCCATTTTCTCAGTTGGATATCAGCATTAACTGGTATGTTTTTTATATTGGCTGGCCATCAACATTATTCTATTGATATTCTTATTGCTTGGGTGCTTAGTTCTCGTCTATTTATTTATTATCATACGTAAGATATTAAGTAAAAAAAAAGCGTATTTATTATATAAAACATCGTTTTATTTCATTTAGTCTTGCTAATAATCGAACATTTTTACAACGAGATACAAATCGAATGCGTATCTGGTTTCCATTGTTTTCCTATTTTGAAGAGAATGTCAAAACAGCAATACCTAATGAATATTGTCTGCCTAGTTTTATTTATGAAGCACGTATAATGATAAATAATTGGATGGAATCAATAAAATATTCAGCTTTTTGGGTCATTCTATTTTTATTTATCATTATCACTTATAGTTTTTCGTTCACAAAAAAATCGAGTTTTTCTTCAGTAATTGAGCGATAAATAATCACAAAGAGAATCTTGTTTTTTTTTTCATACTTTGCATACGTTTGAAATGTAATACGTTTTTTTTTCCTTATTTGGATCTCTTTATTGTGTTTTTTTCTGCTTGTATGAGTACTTTCGATATTTATGTCAGATGCGAATTTTGACTTTATATATTGTCTATTTTTCTACTACATCTGATTTTGTCTGTTTCGTTTTTTTTTTTTTTTTGTCATACTATTGATAATAATAGAAAGATGATGAAATTCTATATCGATCTTTTCTTTTCAGAAATATTAGTCATGAATGCAGCACATGAATCATAAAATTGTGATCTTTGTTGATAATAAATGATTAATTAGCAATTAAAAATTGAATCATCAATCGATATGGAAAGTTTACTGAATGAATATTATTTTGAAGCTAATAATCGAAAAGATCAATTAATTAAGAAAAAAAAGTTTTTTTTTTATTTTCTCAGGTATCAAATATACATATATGAATAAATAAATAAATAAGAAATATATCTTTCGATAACATTGCATAGTTCTAACGATGGAAAAAAAATCAACGACAACCGTTCAATTTTACTATTGTATTTGATGTTGTTTGTTCTATGGGAGAGTATTTTCATATAAATAGTTCATCATCAGAAAATCAATCGTTGATTAATACAGGTCAGAAGAAAATTTGCATTGCAAAATAGATACCTTACGAATTACTTGATGCTATGCATGATGAGCATGAATGCTTAGATATTGTTTTATTTAATCATAATATTACACTGCTTCAACTAAGTCAATTGCTTAAACTTATCGACCGTGATGTATTAAATGATCGAATAGACCCTATTCAAGTTGATAACACAACAAAGATATAATCTAGTGTGTGACAATGGCTATTATTCATGTTAATAGATATACGAGTGGAGAAGAGCAGAAACTTCATACTTGACGTCTGCTGTTTCTCTCACGCAGATATGTTGATTGAAAATAATCAAAGTTAGTTAACTAAGAATTGAATAATTTTTTGAAACACAGATATGTTTTCGAAGAAAATAATAATGAATAGAAATTTAAATCGATAGTTTTGTGTCTCACCACAGTATGCACGAAGGCGAACATTTGCCTAAAAATGAAGATGGTGCTTTTTCAGAATTTAAATATAGGGCAATATACTTCGAAATATAATCCATCTAATGATATAAATAACTTTGTTACAACCTTCCAAGAAATGGAAAAATCCATCGCCGAAAAACTAGGCTGAAAATTGTCATGTCACTGGAAAATACAATGGTAAAAGATATTTTTTTGATTTACATGTTTAACTTCTCAGAAAAAAACTAATATTTTTTTCCTATAGTGTTGTCCGATGGGCTAGTTCCGTAGAATGAGCAACCCACCTACATATAACTTCGAAACTTTTCCAAATTTTGCTAGGATGTTCTTCTGCCTACTGTCTCTAATCTCTATTAGCCCAAAAATTCCTAAACTGCACAATGGATTTTTAAAAAGCCTAGGTTTTTCAGGTATTTTTCAGTTTCTTTCTGGCTTTGAAAAACGATTTAATCGGTAAAAATAGTTTACTCGGAATCAATGCATTAAATTACACCAAATGATATATCATGCGAAATAATTTCGAAGAAAAAAATTTTGTTGAAAAAATGAAGATCAGGATTTCCCCCTCAAGCATTTTTCATCGAAAAACTTTTTTCTAAAAAGTTCTTTTTTGCGTCATATCCAATCATTTCTAAGCAAAGAAATTCATTTCCGAGCAAGAAAGTCATATGTCTGCCTGTCATGCAAAAAATTCACGCTGTTTCCCCTTCTTCAGGCCCTAGCAACCGAGATTAAAGTTGCTGAACGACATTAATAAGACGGCTTCGAGCGTTCTAGAACATTTCAGAACCTTCTTTGAAATTTAAATGACTGAAATACGTTTTACAATATTCTAAAGGACGGAGTTTCTAATTTTTGCGCAGATAAACGATTATATGATAGACATCAATGATGATATTTTGATAATGAATGTGTACAACGGACTTATTTATTCACGAAATCAATGGTTAGACTAATAATAATAAATTATGAAAACCAAATAAAACAGAGAAAATAAATACCATGTGAATAGCAACAAGACAAATAAAAAAACATAGCCAATCAAAAAACAAAGAAAACAAAATTTCTGTCTGAAAGGTAGAGACAAAACAGACAGAGCATTTGCTAACAACCGGTTATCGTTGGAAAAGAACTATTATCTTTTAGAGATTTTACACATTATGACTTTTGCATTGATATAATGAAGCTAATTGAGGCATGTAAGTTTCACATTTCAGCACCTAATGAGCTGTGCTAACAAGCTTTTTCTCACAAATACATTACTAAAAAATGTCTTCTTGATTTAGCTAAACGAACAGTTGAACTGAATTTATTAGCGACCGTATGTATAAATTCACAAAATTTGTGCATCTTTTAATATGAAACTTGAAAAAAATTTTTGATATTCTATAAAAAGAAAATTCTTTAATTTCAAATATTAATACGTATTCAACATGAGCACTTGAGAAATTTAATTCTGTAAAATGTATCATACTTCTAATTAAATGAATAAAAAACAAACTTTTTATTCATAATCATTTATGTGATGGTCAACTTAACCTTATGAATAAATATAAAAGAACGATAAATGCAAAAGCAACAAAATTTACCGTTAAAAATTGTTTCTATTCATGGATATAATAATAATAATTCTAGTTCTCGAAAAGACATATTTTCTAGTGTAACATACATACTATTATTCGTAATTTGAATATACGTATTTTATTCATGCAATGAAATTACTTAATAATAAACAATTAACATTTAAACTTGATATTCTTGATCGATTTCAACATACTGATGAACTTCGATTGTTTCTATTTTTATTTTTAATTAAACGAAAACATGACTCATATCTTTTTTTTCATCATGTGACTAGTTATTTTTGTTCGGTATATTTAAATGAAATAATATAAGAAAAAGAAATATAGAGGGTAATTGTGTTGTTTCTTTTTTCTTTTTCTAGGTAAAAAGAGAAAGCCAAGGTCGATACAAATTTTTACTCAGTTTCTTATTATTTTTTCTTTTTTTATTGCTTTTATCGAGTTCTGTAGACATAATTATTAGTATATAAAAAAAAAGTATCAATTATTCAACATCAAATTATTCGGATTGAGAGATTTCATTTCTGTTTTTGTTTTCTTGTTGTTACTCATTATGATCATACGAACTTTTCTATTTTTAGTTTATTTTACTCTAGAAACCTATTAATGTTTTCAGATTGACATAAAGAATAGCATTTTCAAAGCATCATTAGGTGTATAATCGCTATTATTTATTATTTTTTTTCTATTTTTTAGAATTTATCAGAATATCATACGATCTATTATTTCCTATTGTTCAAAGAAGTGATACGGATTTGTTTTTTTGTTTTTTCGACTAAAAAAAAATGTTGAATCAATAAAATTTCGTTAAAAATATGTTATCCGACGATTCATTAGAAATACCAACAAAATCGCTACCAAATGTAGAATCATTGTCACCATCATCTCAATTACTTTCATCGGATAAAGGTAGAGTAAAACGTCGTCAACATAATGAATCAAATACAACCGATTGTTCTTCGATACCTCCTGTTATACGTCATACAACATCATGGCGATGGGTTATTGTTTTTTCATCATTTTGTGTTCATTTTGTTGCTGATGGTGTTCTTTTTTCATTCGGTATTTTAATGCATGTAATTAAAGATGATCTCAATATTGAATTACATACAGTTGGTATTATTGCATCGTTATTCCTTAGTTTACCTCTGTTTTTAGCACCATTAGCTAGTGCATTAGTTAACAAACTAGGATGTCGATTTGTAACTATGTTAGGTGGACTTCTTTGTTCAATTGGTTTAGTTTTAGCTTCATTCATTGGAAATTTTATTGGTGCTCTTATTGGTATTGGAATTTTTTGTGGTAAGAAAATATTTTTTTTCATAATTTCTTATTTTCACATATATTTAAATAGGAACCGGTCTTTCATGCATTTATGTTCCAGCAGTTGTTATAGTAGCACATTATTTTGATGAACATCGTGCTATTGCAACAGCTATTGCTGTTGGTGGAACAGGTTTGAACTGTGAAAAATCTTTTCTTTAAAAAAAAAAAGATTGGATTCAACTTTTAGGTCTTGGAAATGCTATTGTTGCACAACTAATTCATGTTTTAAATAATTATTATGATGATTGGAGAGATACAACATTATTTTTGTCCGGAGTTTTTTTTACAATCGTTGGTTTTGGTGCACTTTTTCGTCCTGTAGAATTTTCATTTCGTCGTAAAAGTAAAAATTATCATCGTAAAAGTAATGATAGTCATTTACCATCGATATTGATGGCTTCAACGGAAAAATTACAATTGTTTATAAATGAAATGGATAAACAATGTATATCAAATAAGAGTAATCAACCTGTTGACATATCAATATCAAATCATGAAACAAAAAAGTTAGGTTTATTTGATTCATATTCAGCTGATGATATTAAAAAACTTGAAGATGAATTTAATGATAATATACATGTAACAACATGTCGAGAAAAAATCCCTATAACCAAGGTTCATTTTTCATTAAAAAGCCAAACTAAAAATGATAAAACTATTGAGGAAATAGATTCAGTAAGATGTTTTTCGCCTCATTTTCTTTCTCGTACATCAGAAGAACAATTATTAGAAGTTTATTATCAACCAATAAGTCAAAAAGATATTTTCTATCCTGGTAATGTACCATTAAAACGTTCTAATTTATCAAGAAAAAGTTGTCCAAATCTACTTCAATCTTATGTTTATGAAGAATCATTTACATCAATAATTGATGATAATAGTAATTCAGTCCGTGGTCGTCATCGACGATTAGTATTCTATCATAAAGGTTTATCATTTTTTCGTACATTACGACGAATGTTAGGTTTAGAATTATTTCATGATTATCGTTATGTCATTTTTTTTATATCACAATTTTTATTTTATTTATTTTATGATTTAATTTATCTGTTTCCAGGTAAATTTCATTTTTGACAAAAAGTTTTTTCTTTTTTCAAACTTATTTATTATCAATTCTAGTCGATTACGGTGAAACATTTGTTGGTTATTCAAAAAAACAAATGACTATGTTAGTAACTGTACTTGGTTTTGGACAATTTTTTGGACAACTTCTATTTGGATTTTTAGCTACTTATGCACGTATTAATGAATTAATACTTTATGATATAGGTGCAGTACTTTGTGGACTTGCCAGTTTACTTATACCATATGTTGTTTATTCATATATTGCATTAATTATGGCTATTCTACTTTTTGGACTTTCTATATCAGCTAATTATGCATTAACATCAATTATTCTTGCGAATATGTGTGGTTTAGAATCGTTAACATCAGCTTATGGACTTATTTTACTTGGACAAGGTATATCATCATTATCCGGTCCAGTTATTGGAGGTAAAAGAAATAATAGAATTCTCTATCAAAATACAATGTAATTCATTGTAAATAAGAAAATTTTTTTTTCGATATGTATATGTCATGATTGAAAACAAAATGATGATCGTGTAATATCGAAGTAGTGTAAAGAGAGAAATCAAAGATTCACACAATTCTAAAATTCCTGTAATTATGTACAATCGTAGAAATAAACAATTATTATTTAAACATCTGCCTAGGACAACTGTTATTTCATTTATTAAGTTTTAACTATCTAAACAAATTGTTAAAACACACTTCTTTTTCTTTGAGATGCATCGATTAACAAATACGATTTGATTTTTTTGTTTGAATTTCTATAATAGGTTGGATTGCAGAAAAATACGGATATAAATCATCATTAATTATAGCTGGTATATTTATGGGTATATCTGGATTTGTAACACTGTTGATACCTTTAATTCAACGATTATATAAAAATGAAAAAGAGAAAGATACAAATACTGAAGAAACAATCAAAATAAATACTATAACGATGCCATTAGATGATTTCAATTGATAATAAATCCGAAAATATACATATAGTTTTTTTACGTCTAGTGATTTTTCTCAAAGAAATTTCCTTTTTTTTTATTCTTGCTATTTTTCTGAAGAATTTCTTGTTCATACTACGCTTATGACGTTTAACTAGTAAAACTAGAATCATATTGATATAGAAAAAATACCTGTGACACTTGTTTTATATAATCTTTTTAATAGTTTATTTCCAATATATTTATAAATAAATGAACTCTAATAAAGGGAATAATATTCATTAAAAATTAGTTCAATTGAATAAATTGAAAAACAGAGGAATCTTTAATTCATGAATTCTCCTTATTATTAAAGACAGTAGCGCCTCCTATCAAAACTCCTCATTTACTGGAATTAAAATTCATCCATTTGCAATATTTTTTGTTCGTAATGATGACTAGACAAATAGAAAACAAAATCATTTCATTTATTCGACGCATGTAAGATTTATTTTTAAGAATATCTTATTATTCATCATGGCATCGAGTTCTAGTACTTGCAATGTTTATATACCAAGTGATATAATTCCGACTGCAGAAACAAAAATTAAACTTGCAGATAGTATTTTAATTTCTCCTCTTGGTGAGTAGAAGATGTTCAATATGAATGTATAATGACATTTATTAACTCTCATAGTTTTGGGTACTTGGGCTTGGGGTGATAAAAAAACATGGAATTGGAATGAAGAATATGATGTAAAAGCTAAAGAAGCATTCGATATGTCTATATCAAAAGGTATTAATACTTTTGACACGGCTGAAATGTATGGTAAAGGTGAAAGGTAAATAGATAGAAAAATTAAAAAAAAATAATAATTAAATTTATTTTTTAGTGAACGTTGTATTGCTCGATACAAAACAAATCATCCTAATGCAGGAGATATTGTTCTTGCTACAAAATTTCTTCCTTTTCCTTACAGAATTTCTTATCCAAGTTCACTCATTAATGCACTTCGAGCAAGTCTGGAGAGATTACAGGTATTAAAATAACTTTGATATGTTGATTGCGATTAGATCTATAAAGAATCTATCAATCGTCAATTCTTTTTTTATTCTCTCATTTTTTTTTTGAGATATCATACTTCAATTAATCTTGATATAACAAGATTGGGTTTGTTACAATCATAGTGAGATATATATGATTTCCTTGCTTTTTTTTTTGTGCGTATGTTCACTCTCTTTCTCTAAATACTAAGACGAGTAATTGTTAAGACACAAATGAATCTCATCGACTTGATAGTGTGTTATTAACTTGCATAATAGAAACATTCAAAATTTGTTACACAATATATTTTTTTTTCTAATTTCAGGTTAATTGTGTTGATCTCTATCAAATCCATGGTCCCATTCATTTACGTTCAATTGAAGTTCTTGCTGATGCATTAGCAGAAGCAGTTAAACTTGGTTTGACAAAGACTGTTGGTGTTTCAAATTATTCAACAGATGAAATGATTAAAATGTATGATCGTTTACAAACACATGGTATTCAACTTGCATCAAATCAAGTTGAATTTTCACTTCTTCGACGTTTACCAGAAACATCTGGACTTATTGCTGAATGTCATAAACGAAGTGTTGCTGTTCTCGGATATTCTCCTCTTGTAAGTTGAAAAACTTAATTTTTTTTTTGTTTTTGAATAACATCATGTTATTGTGCTTATAAAAATCTATGCTTGATTATTCATTAGGCTATGGGTCGTCTTACTGGTAAATATTCAGCAGCAAATCCACCTCCTTCAGGTCGTCATTTCTCCAATATTAATATGAATGAATTAGAGCCAATATTAGAAACAATGCGACGTATTGCAAATAAATACAATGTTAGTGTTTCATCGGTGGCTTTGAATTATGTCATATGTAAAGGTATAGAATCTTTAATCATTTTTCGTATATTATGAAGTCTATAATATGTTCACAAAACAAAATTTAAGAATCAAATATGTTATATCAGTTTTACAAATTCAACTATACTAGTTGACCTATTGATCTCGTCATAGTTTTTTCCTCATATAGCATTTTGTTACTAAAATGAGTTTAGAATGAAAAGTTTTCATTTGAGTTAAATAAAGAATAAAATTCGAATGCGAAAAATCATATTAGGATAGACGTCTTTGATATTAACAAGAAGTATTATAGAGAACGTTTATAGTCGAAAAATATATTGCTAGAGATATTTGGATCGTTGTAAAGTTTCTGTAGAATGAATGAAAAAAAAAACACAAATTCATATTAGTATTTTCATTGAGAAAAAAGAAATATTACTTTCATTTTAAAAATATAACATTTAAGATAAAAAAAGGACTTGTTTGATGTATATTTCTTTTAATAATGATATTGGGCATTGTAAATTAGAAAACATTTATGAAATTTGTAATATAAAAATCTTAATTATACAATGTTTTAAATAGTATTTCTTTTAAAGGTGTTATTCCACTTGGTGGTGCTCGAGATGCTAAACAAGCTGAACAAAATGCTGGTGCTTTAGGATGGCGTTTGACAAACGAAGAAATTGTCGAACTCGAAAGTCATCCTTTTACTCCAGCCAATGCATTTTGGCAACGATTTTGGCAACATGGTTAAAAATGCGATACATTTTACTGTGATTTACTAATTTTATCATTGATAGACGTACAAGATTGATATTTTTTTTGATTTATTTTATATAACCGTTTGAAAGAAAAAAAATTCAAACATTGAATATTCTCTAGTTTGATAATCTATCATATGACAACGACAACTTATTTATAAAAGTTTAGAAAATGAATTATATTCAGGAAAGGGGCTGTGACTCTCCCAATCAAGAAAACTTTTTGTTTTTTCTCAACGAAGACGAAAACTTTTGTGTTTTCTCTTAGAAAAAAAAATTACGACATCCTCCTCAATGTTAGCTGCTTCGAGCCAGTTTTGATTATATCAGTATTGAAATAATATTCGAATAATTAACTCAATCATCGAAGATTCAATACTATTTTATATGAAGAGAGATAGAAAAAAAAGTCAATGTGAAAAGTTAATTTGTGACACAGAATTTTAAGTATCTGCAATCTACCATTGTTTAGATATTAAAACACTCGAAGATTTTATAGTGAATATATATCACCTTTTTATGGCGCGCCGAGATTTATTTTTATTCTCTCTTCAAGTACAATTTTATTACTGATAACAGTTACTTAATTTGAAAGACGTCATAGTGATTATATTCTTCAATTCACTGTACATTCAGATTTGCATAGTTAAGCAAGCTTATGACAATGACAATCTTATCTAGGGTTTAAATTATTATTACTTTAATCTCTATTTCTGTAAGCAAACCAACAGCCATTGACAAACACCAGCATTGTTGTATTGTTTTCAAAAAAGATAAGCATCTTTCGTAGTGTTTGTGATGACTATACCAGATCGGCTAGTCATGAACACCAAAATCAGAGCTTTATTGAGTTCCAAATGAAAAAAAATTGATAGATTTTTTTTAGATATACTGAAACACGCGTCAGTTGCACGTGTGAAACTACCGATATTTTAAAATGATCTAATAATGAACAACTCAACAAAATAACATTAAAAAATTTAATACTCATGCCTTATAATATATCATTTAAGCTTAAATTAGAGAAAAAAGCTGTTAGCGCAATCTCTTGCGGGATTAAAAATGTGAAACACGATGGACCTATTGTTACTAATTAAATGGACATCGTTTTGTTCCATTTATTCAATATAGATTTGTAGCTTGCCGTATATTTGATGCTTCAAAACTACAGTTTCTCTGTCACGGTCTGTGGGAGTAGGTCTAAATTTCTACCCTATACACTTCAACATTTCTTCCAGATCATGTTTCACAAAACCAGTACAAATCGTAGCATACATTTACTGGAATTATCCTCAAAAGATTTTTTTTGTAATCACAATGGGATACAGAGTGTGTGGAAGCAAAAGGTAAAAAGGTGGATTATTATCAATGTTGAGAACATGTTTAATCACTATGTGACATGGTTTTGTACAAGGACATGAACTTCAAAAACGTATTCTAATGGATGCTTTCAACGCTATCTCACTCTTTGTTTCAGATCTTTGGGAATCAAGTGAATATTATTTCTAAAAAAAAAGATATCGACTAATGTGTCATGTGTCAAAATTTTATTCTTCGAAAATACAATCAATATTCTTTTCTTGATATTTATCTTGAATCGTTATTGAGGGCATATGAGAATTGGGACAACCACTTTCTAGTTCTTACTGGAATCTGTTGCTATTGATGATTCCATATACAGACAAACATCATTGACCAATATTTCTATGATATCGATAACGAACTAACTAGTAAATGTCTCTCAAACGCATCTTTCAATGACTTCTTGCAACGTTATTATTCTTAGATTGATCATTGTAAATTACATCTCACAGTTTTAAATTCTACATAAACATGTGTTCATATAACGACAGTAAAGAATGTGTATATTTTCATTTGAAGAATTGTAACAAAATTAGTAGTAGACATCACATTAGTATTATTGTATCTTCTCTTCACTTGTTCAATAATTTTTCAACTAAGATAATTTCATAGTTTGTTATTTCCAGTTGCTTCAAACTTTCGAAAATTTCAACTTCATCGATAACTCAGTTACAGTTATGATTTCATTATATATTTGAGATAAAAACATTAGATGGATAAAGCTATTAACGAATGCTTTCCTATTCACGATTGAACATATGAACAGCTCTTCTTGGTATATGATAACTGAAAGAAGTTCTTGACAAAATCTATGGATTATTGGTCAACTTCAATTATCTATCAAAGTATTGACTGTTGTATTTAGTGATTTGATGATGGAGATATGTGTAGATTGTTATTGTATGGAAAAACAGTAATAAGTTGTTTACTTTTTGTGTAATGATTTGAATAAATATCTTCGCTGTATTGTTCTTTTGATAATCGAGACGTGGTGACATTGAATGATCAGTCATATTACAATAATTAGTAAATAGGTTGATTTTTGTTCATTTGATACAAGTAGGAATTCGGGAAAAATGTTTATTGGAACTGTTATTAATCGTAATTGATTGAATTACTACAATATAATAGCTATTTGTCACACACATCGAGAAATAGAAAAATATTTTATTGAGTTTTATTTCACTTGGCACGTTTTTTTATATCAAGTTTATCAATACAGGATTCCATCTTAGCAGTGGCGAGTCTAGAATTTTGAAAGATGGGAAGCGAGCATAGGCAAAAATTACTTTTTATGGCTTATCTGAGGTAGTGTAAGCCCACTTTTCGTTCGTTTTTTCGGGAAAAAAAATATTCTTGAAAGGGTGGCGACCATTCCTTCTAAATCCTTGACGTATGACGAAAGTTCATCATGAAAAGACAAATAAACGTATATGATACAAAAAATGATGTAGAAATTTAACATTCAGTTAATATTATTCTCTTATATTCCTATAATCCCAATAGTTGACTACAAGATGGAACTTTAATTAATTTATGACTCGTACAATCAATAAGATAGAACAGGCAGAAAACTGAAATGTATATAATAACAATCTATTGATTTGTTTTATCTGTTGTGTTTAAATGAAGCATTGTTCTTTATGAACTTTTATGCAAGTAAATTATGTTAAATTATTTATAAGGTTTTATTCTTATTACATGAAAAATTTTTCTTTGAAAAATGTTTTTCAATTCGTTGGCACATTTCAAATTCACCTGAATTCTTGATAACAACGCTGATAATAGTTCATCACAATGTGAATTAGCTGAAAAAAATCGAATATTTCACTTGGTTCTGCATTCCATATTTTAAATGGAAAAATAAAAAGAATATTTAAATAAATATCCAGCAAAAATCGAAAAGTTTTGACGTAATATAATTAGATAAATATATATGTGGATGAATCGTACAGCAACATTCATCAAATTTACATATATCAAAACCAGAACAATAATACAGAACTTTGGAAAATAAAGCAAAATTTTGTATTCTGTTGAAAAATTTTTATGATCCATAAATATTCAAATGAAGAAAGATGAACAACGCAGACAATGGTCTTTGGTTACTTTAATTCTTTGGGTGTAGGTGATCCTAATGGGGATCGCAATAATTGCCTAGTACATTGAAACTCATAGATTCATATGTGATATCAGTTTTCGTAAAAACATTTATCAGACACTTTTTTGATGTAATTTAAGTTAGAAATTCTTTTACTCTGATAATCAGTAACGTATAATAAATATAACACAACTGACTTCCATGGAAAAAGTTGCTAAAATCTAAAATTCTCATGAGAAACGTTTCTATCTGAAAGGATATGTTAGGTGATGTTATACTTGTAAATTATCTTTCCATCTGCTTGATGTGACTTTACTCAATGCATTCATTTTATACAATTTCAAGGTCGGAAAAAGAATGCATTTATCGAGCTTCCGACAGGAAGTTATTCGATCCATGATTGAATCTATTGAAAGTTAAATGGATAAAAAAAAAAGAATACCGTCTTTAGAAAATCCATTCAGGCTCAGTGCACGACACTTCCCTTCACTCATTCAAAGTTACTCAGTTGAAGGCAAATTTGAAAAAACAAAGAGACGAAGATGGCACGTTTGCAGTAATACAACAACAGCTACAAAAAGAGTACTAAGACAACATAGAAGTGCGTTCAAGGTAAGTTTGGTTTATGTGTTGTACCTTGTTTTGAACTGTATTACACTTTGAAAAACTTCTAAACATGTGTATCTATAAAAAGTTTTGATAAACTAGAACTATAGATTAATTTATGATGAAGTATACAGAAAAAGAACCTGTAATCAAAAGGTTAAAACTAGAAAAAAGGGATTTTATTCTGAAACTTCTTTTCATTTCTTAGTAAAATATATGACATCTTCCATAGATGAACATTTTTCCAAAGTTTTGACGGTAGACTTTTGGATTCTATATGATGCCAAGGCAAAGATAGAAGCACTGAACATTTACGGATTTCTTTCATAAGAAAAAAGTAAATGAGATTTTTGAAAAAGCTTAAAATTACCTCTGAGATATAGTCTTAGGTATCTAAAAAAAAATTTTCAGCTCAATTGAATCAAGTTTGATGGGGGTCGTAAGCAACCAGAATGCGACCCTATGAAAAACCAGAGTTTCTCAGAAAAAATTGCAAAAATCCACTCAAAAATGTCTCCATATTTTTGGTGCTCTATTCGTGATAAAAATTTCAGCTTGATTGATTGTATCATCTTCGACAACCAGAAACGATCAGAAAGAGGAGAGATACTCATTATAATTGTCCATTTAACTCAACTTTTACGGAAGCCAATGAAAAATGTCGTCATTTTGACCATTAAAATCAAGACGATTTAAAGTATCTAAGTGATATAATAGCAATTTAATAAATAAATCGTTTATACTTCCGAGGAAGTGATTCTGTATCCTAAATAGTAATTTATTTTGTCTCTGTTCATTTTAGAAATAAATTTTGATCTAAAACAATTATGTATAATGTCTCAGAAAAGATATCCTCATATGAGAAGGTTCTTGTTCAGAATTACAATAATTTTATTCGAAGTAGATGTTACAAGAATAATTAAAATAAGCTTAGTGATTTGTTAAAATGAAGAAATGAGAATAGCAAAGTTTCAATAGAAAATTTTCTGTGCCTTTATAATCCAATGAACAATATGAATTTTGGTTTAACTGAAAATAAATACGATCTGTTTTCTATTAGTATAGTAACAAATTCTATCTGATTCCGAAGAGTAGGATGTGAGTGTAAAGAGAAGATCAATATCCACATGCACATCACAAACCCATACTCATCCACATTAAGAAACGTATTGTCTTGTCGTTAGTTTTGTTCTTGAATATTTTTCATACAGTATTATTTTTTGTTGATGTATTTATACGTCTCTCACGTTTTTGTATGCAATAAATTGTGTTCATCTCGCTAGTCGACAACCTTAGAATAAGCTTTTTTCGACATTTTTTCTTTCGTCCAACGTAATGTTATTCAGTTCAACGATTGCTACTGCTGTAAAAAGTAGAATAGAATCGAATGATTATTAGGTTAATTCAATAGCTGCTTTCAATAGAACGAATATAACGTTCGCAAAAAATGTCAAGACTTAGTTTGTTTATAAGATGTAAATCCAATCACTTCTCGAACTGAGAAAAATATTGTTTTACCAAAATGTGACCAGAAAAAATACATTTACACTCAATAATTTTGCAAATCAAACAAATCCATCATTCTATTTTACTCGCAATTTATCAAATAATTTCGATCTCGTTTGTAATTTTTCCTCGTTTTATTATAATAAATTGAAGATTAGATATTTTTTCAAGCGTAAGAACATCCGTAAATAATGTTGTTCATCTTAGATCACTTCTTCAATCAATCAATTTTGAACAAAATTTTTGATCACATACTACAAAATTAAACAGTCCTACTAATCTAAAAATTGTCATGTTTTTTCTCATTTAAAGTTGTTGCTTTCTATTGTGAGAAATAATCCGTTTGACAATTGATTGACGTCATCATAGTGCATGTTCAGGTCTTTTTAATAGAGATCAAATGTTTTTCAAAACTACGCATCATGTTTCAAATTACATCATACACGCAATCTTTCTCTTGTTATAATAAACTCAAAAATTATATAAATAAGAATTTTCAAGAAATATCAGGTGTTTAGTATGACAGACAATTTGGTCAAATCTTCATTAATGTCGTTCACATTTTTGCGTGTTACTTACTATTCTTAAGATTAAAAGAAAAGAGAGAAATAAAACTCAATAGCTACTAAAATAAGTAGGTGATCGAAGCACGCCATATAAACATCTATCCTATCGAAATTATCATTTTGGTCGCATTCATATCTTTTCTATCTAGTTCAAACATCATTATGGTTTCTCTCATGCAATTAATGTGCATCATAGGTAAATTTTTGTTTTTTTAATATACATTCGTTAATATTCTTCCATGTTAAGGTTTGACACTCGTATCGTTTGTTATCTATACACAACAAGAATCATTAGCTGTGCCATCATCCGATGAACAATTTCAATTAAACAAGCGTCTTATTGATGCTCATGCACGAACATCTATTCCACTTTTTCGTGGATCAAACTTAGGCATTTTTGTTCGCAAACGTCCATTTAATGCCTTTCCTGAACATTCTGTCGCACGACGAAAAGAACCTCACTCAACATCAGTTAATAGTGAAAATATTTGGTCCGAAATATTAAACAACAATGAACAATATCAACGTCGCTTTGACGATTATGCAGAAAATCCAGGTCCCATGTTTGGTTGATGATGAATTTTCTGTTGTACACAACTAACGGAAAAAAAAACTATAATAACAAAAACAAAAAAAAGATCCGTTTCAGTGTGCAATATTCTAACCGATGAAGAGTACTAATAAAATTTTATTCATGCAGATTGCATTTAAATATTTTCAGTAATAATCATTGATGTTTTATCAGTATTCTAAGAGAATAACATTAGATTTTCTTTTCAACTAATTTATATATACTAATAGAATTATAACAAGAAATCTACTTCAAACTTTTTCTATAACTAAAGCATTTTTTGATTTGTACTAAAATTCAAACGTATATGTTAATTTTACATAGATTAAATGTTCATAGATTATGTCATTGTAAGACAAGTCAATAACTTCAGATTAATTGATTTTCATTTTTAAGCATATTTACGATTGATAGTGATGATGATATTTACGGTGCGCCATAGAAAGATTGAATGGGAAAATGTTGAGAAATAAATATTGAACGGGAAAAATCTAGAAACTGAAAGATATCAAAGGAAAAGGACATAAGTACGGAAGAAGAACACATCTTCAAGACTGAAACAAGTGAAAACGTTTGCAATTCAATGTCATACGGACAATCGTGGTGAACAATATTATGATAGTCTTATAAATGTAATGAAATATTTACATGATTTATCATTTGTAGTTGCTAAACGGGAAATATGACACTAATTTCTTTTTTATTGCTTGACTTCTGTATAGAGTCCATGTCTGTTATATTTTGATATTTTTTTTTCGACCTTTCTACGACCAACAGTATTTGCTTTGCATTCCACACATATTCTGCTTTGAAATTTAAATGAACCGTCTACTAATATGGTGACTATGTTGTGATATATAATGACTGTTTTAGTTTATTCGACTGATACTTTCTTCAGGTGGCCAATAAGCTGAAAGTGAGTATCTTTCTTGATAGTTCGAAAATATGATCCATTAGATCGAACTTCTGTCCATGGTTATCAAATGCGGAGAAAAAAAACATATACTATTAGGATTGTTGAAAAGTAATGTATTTTTGATTTATCCAACTGTTCTTCAATTCGAACATTATTTTATTTTTCAATTAAAGAACATATTAGATTATATTTGAATACATCGTTTACTATAGAAATAGATCTGCAACAATTATTGACAAAAAATCGTCTTCTGAGATTTTGAATCTCTTTCGTGTTGAAAATATCTACTTATTTTTATTATTATCCGAAATAACCAGGTTCTCTTAATTATTACAAATACAGTATTGTTCAAAAATATAAGACCAACATATTTTTTATTTTTTCTACGATACGAAGCATTTAACGCAAATACAAATTATGTTTTTGAATAGACAATGAAGTTCTCTATTAAATGTATTCCATTCTGAAAAACCAGGCATTGTAACTTTCCAGTTCCAGAAGACTGCGTGAAAATTAGTTTTTAAGGGCATCATCTTAAAGAGTACAAAATTATGAATAAAATGACAGGTTGCCACATTTCCTTTGATCTTTTTTTAAAAAGTTATAAGTATCATAAAACATGCAGAAAAAAAGAAATTTATCATAGCATTGCTGAAAAAAACTCGCATTGTTTTTGTTTTTTGTGATGGTTATAAATTTTCCGGAGAAAGTCGTAGGAAATGCGATAACCTCTCATTTTATACTCTTTAAGATGATACTCTTAAAAACTAATTTTCGCATAGTCTTCTAGAATCTGAACACTTCAATGTTTGATTTTTCAGAAGCCTTTCTCTCATACTCGATCTATGAAATTTCGATATGAAACGCATTTGATAGAGAACTTCATTGACTATTCAAAGTACTATTTGAATTTGAGTTAAATACTTCACACCGTAGAAAGAAAATCGAAAATATGTTGTTCTTAAAGTTTTGACTAATACTGTATATAATATAAATTTACTCTTGTTTTAAATATAAAAAAAAAATAAAATAAATAAAATAGTTCACAATCGAGCAGCATTGTATAATACTTCAGGTTTAATATAAATATTGGTCAAAAAATAATCTGCTTGTTCTTTTATTTCACGTAGTGCTTGATCATTCCATCGAAATGAAAGAAATGCAGTTGGTACGAGATTACATTGATTAAATGTTATTGATTGTTCATCTTGACTTGAATAGATTCGACGATCAGTCATTGATGTTAATGTAAATGGAAGTGTATTATATACAAGACAATATGAACGTAAATATTCAAATAAAGATGAAAGAAGATCATTACACGGAAAGATAACTTGTAGAATAATTTCATCAGGCATTCGAATACGTAAAATTGTATATTTATATTGAATATTTAAAGAAGATTTTTCATCACGTTGACGCATAGCTTTTGTTCTTAACATTTGTTCTTTTTCAAGTAAATCTTTTTGTCTTTGTTTTTCACGTAATAATTCATCAGTAGTTATTTGATAAAATAATGGATCTTGTGGTAAAAGTTGTATACGTGGTATAGATAATTGTTCTCTAGTTGGTTGAAATATTTTTAAATTTTTATCAAGTTGAATTTTTATTGGTTTACTATTCATTAATGTATCATGTGCTAATTGTAATCGTTCAAAAGAATGTTCTTGATAAATTATTGATTCATTATCATCTGATGAAATAAATCCACTAGCTTGAAGTAATTCTCTAGCATATTTTAATGGAAAAACTTTCTTCAAAAACAAAAAAAAAAAGAAAGAAGAATTTTAAAAAAATATATTTTAGATAATTGAACAATTTTTACTTCGAGATAAATTTTATTTTGTAAACGAATTCGACGATATTTATCTTCATTTGGATTTGAAATAATATTATCGAAATATTTACAAATAATTTCTTTGCCAATATTTAATTTATCTAGATCTTTTTGATTACATGTTAAAAAGAGACGTGTTGCAGTAATTATTGGTTCAGAATTTAATTGAAATTTTAATGTACTTTCAATTCGTTGTTGTAATTCATCATATGTTAAACAATCATTATCACCAAATATATCAGGACATTTAAAAAATAATTTTTTATAATCAACAATAGGTACAGTTTCAGTACTTATCTATATTTTAGTATATACAACAATAAGGAAATATATGAGAAAGAGACAAGATGAATTTTTATACTTGTCGATTGCCAAAATAATGTTCTTTTAAATCAACTGCTTTTTGATATTCATCTTTAAGTACTTTTTCTTGTTCAAGTTCACGTTGAGCTTGACGACGAACGCTATCTGCAGTTCGACTGCCTAAAACTTAATTGTTTTATTGAGGCAATTCAGGTATATTAAGGATTTCTAGCATTAATTGAATAAGTCATCTTTTTATGAATTTTTTAATCGATTTTCATAATTACCATTTTATTTTACAAGATTAAAACTTATAATTTAAGTGCATATAGATAGTTTTTGAAATAGAAAAATTCATTGAACGTATTGTTAAAGGTTTTTTTTTGCTTTTGAACAAAATATGAGTCTTATTTTTTGTTTTTTTGAAGAATATCATTTCAGTAACAACTAATGAAGTATTAATATTATCAGAAACAGCTAATACAAAAGATATTTTGTATTATCTTTAACATCAGTTGAAAGAGAGAAAGATTTTAGTGTAGATATATTATTTGCACAGAATTATGCACAAACTAATGAAGGAAGCTTTCCAGCTGTCTCCTTTCGATTTTAACGATTTTTTTTGCCTATTGATGCTACATAATGTGCATTTTTTTTGAAAATTAAGTTTCAGATCCAAATTAAAGAATACGAGTATTCCAAAAACCTGGGATCAATAGAAAAAAAATTCGATATTTTTAGTCAAATATCAATAGAAACCCGAATCCTTTTAAGATTCTTATTAGAACATTATGTAGTATCTATAGGTAAATAATGATTGAAATTGGAAGAGGGGGGGGGGGACACTTGAAAGGTTCCCTCTTAAACAAATTTCAATTTACTACAAGTGTTTCAATAAATATTATTATATAAATATAAATAATAGTGGTCTGAATAGTATCACTTTTGTTGTCAATTTTTCAAGGTCTTTAAATTTGTATGCATGTCATAACTTGAAAATTAGTTGTTTTTATGCTCTAGTACTATGTTAGAATAATTTGAATAAAAAAGAAATTGCTATTTGTTAAGTATTTATTAGTGATCATTTCAACATATAAATTAAATTATATAATTTTATTTCATTGAAAATAGTCTTGAAATTATCACTCACAATGTAGTTATAAAAATCTTTTTCGAATTTCTAGTTTTTCTCTACAATAGTTAAATGAAATACAAATTATCGTATGTCTATTATCAATAAAAAATATTTCCATATTAAATATGCTTTTGTTAGACCTACCATAGTATTATCTGATTTATTAATTTTATCAAAGAATAAAACTCATTATATTCTCACTTGAAGTTCCCGATTTTTGCCTAGATAATTGATGCTGTAGTCGTTGTTGTGCTGCTTCAGCAGCAGCAGCAGCTCGTACTTCTGTTTCACTATCAAAACTTTGTCTTCCAGATGATTGAGGATATGTTTGTGATTGTACAGTTTGAGGAATAGCTGCTGCGGATTCATTCAATTGGTGTCCTTCATCGTCTCTAGCAAAATTTACTTCATTTTTTACTTCCTTTAAATCTGCCATATCTAGAAGTTTAAATCATACATATAATACTCATTTCATCAGTTTGATCTTAATCATCACTTTTGTTGCTTTTTTTTATTTGAGAAGAATGAATGAATGAATGAATGAATGAATGCAATTTCTAAAACAAACAAACCAAGAAAGAAAAAAAAAGATATGACAGAGGGAGGCAAATCCAGGAGTGAAAATGACGATGTAGACCATTCTAGACAATAGAAAATAGCAAATAATAATAAACTAGAAGAAAATAATATATATCGTCATCGATTTGGTTGACTGACTTGGTTGACCATATAACATTTATATACAAAACAACATACATATACACACACACATACACATTCATATACGTAGACAAGCAAAAAAAAAAACACAGGATTAATATAGTTCATATACAAAAAAGGATATGCGTTCCATTGAATATATATATATATATATTTAATACTGAGGTTGAATTTCTGTAATAGTAACAGCAACAGCCGGAATAGCAAATGGTTGATGTGAACGAATTTTTGCATGCGTAAGAAGATGTTGTTTGAGATTAGTTGATTGGGCAAAACGTCGACTACAACCATCAAATGGACAAACATAAGGTTTATCACCAGTATGTATTCGAACATGTGTACGTAAATTAAAATCAAGTGAAAAACGTTTTCCACATCCTTCAAATGGACATTGAAATGCTTTTTCACCGGTGTGTACAAGTTGATGACGACGTAATTTAGAACTTTCAACAAATGATTTTTGACATTCATGACAAACATGTACACCTAAAAAGAGACAAAATTAAAATTAAAAAAAAGATTTTTGTTTTTAATCTTACGTGGTCCATGTGTATGTAAATGTTTATTCATTGAAGCTGTATCACGAAACATTTTTGTACAACCTGATTGTGGACAACGTATTGTTTTAGGTTGATCATCTATAGGTAAATGTGTACGTCGTTTACGATGTGGTTTAACAAGATTTTGAACATAATCAGGATTAGAAAAGTCAGCTGGAATTAATAATGATGAATCATTATCAAGTGGATTAACAATATTACTTAAATTATTATTTGTATCATTACCAACACCTAAATCATCAAGATCTTCATCACCTGATGATTCATCATCATCTGTATCACTTTTATCTTGTTTTATTTTCGTTTGAGAATTTGTTGTTGTTGAACGACGTGTTGAAGAAGATTTTTTATGATTTGAATTTTTATTTGTTTGTCGACGTGGTCGTCCTCGAGAACTTTTATTTATTAAATGTACTACATCATCATCATCATCATCTATATCTGATAAATGATTATTTTCATCATCATCACTATCAAGTGATTCATCATCTGATCCACTTTCATCATCAGAATCTGTATCTGAATCATCTCCTGTTGGATCATGATGTAATGGATTAACACCTGCTTGACAAAGTGCTTGTAATATAGCTGCTTGATCATATGATGTTGTTGGATTATTATTTGTTGATGAATTATCTACATTTTTATTACCAATTATAACAATATTACCGGTTGTACCAAGATTCATTTTTGTTGATATATTTGAAGCAACTTGTGGAATATCTTGTTGAGATGATATTTTACCAGTACGTTTCCCACGTAAAATTGTATTAGTTTCACCTAATAAAAAGAAAATATATATATATATATATATAAAATATTAAGTTTCTATATCGTATAGGAAAAGTTGTTATTGCTAATCACAAGAAGATTGATTGATGTTATCTATTTTGAAACACATGTCTTCAACCCTTTTTACTTAGTCCTCTAGAAATACAATAAGTAGATCATATATTATAATGAGACGTTATTCATATACAGTTCTTGATAGTCTTGTAGAAAATTGTGACAGAAATGGAATTGTAGCGACTTCGGCTGTGTTTCTGACGGATATTCGATAGAAAGATGCTTTCTATCCGACACAATATTATAGAAAGGTGATAATTTCAGCATTTTCTGCTCGATCTCTGTGCGAAAGACTTTTTTTTAACTGAGTTTTTAAACTCTCCCATCTTTAAAAACAATCGGATATTCAGTACGGGAAAGAGAGTGTTGTTAATGCACATGTCATGATCTGTGGGAGATTTAAATTTTTACCTCTATACTGAAGCACTCCTTTTAGATCGTGTTTTCACAAATAGTAGATCTTTCTACATTTATATTTGAAGATCATATAGTATGCTATTGATCTCTTGAATGATACTGACCGTTGTTGAGTATTATGAAATCGTCTATTTAAATTATCTGAGAATTATATTGAAATTAAAATCTGAAATCGATATTACCTTACTCGTAATATTTCAATCATCAATCATACAAAGTGCAAAAAATATTTCATCATAGTCTACATGACTAAGGACTTCGATGTTTTTAGAATATAACTATCCGGAGTGGAACTAATTTCACTGAGTAGAAATAGGAAAAAGGGAATAATTTACATAAAGATTTTGATGTGATCATAACAGATTCAGAAAATGTATAAAATTTTAACTCGGAACCAAAGAGCGATCTGACACAAAGTTTTTGAGCTCCCCGTACATATAGACTAGCCGTGAGCACATGTATATTTGACAACTTAGTCAGTATACTATCGGACAGGTGATCTGAAACAAAAAAAAATCATTAGTGATTTGTCCAAGGTCATGCCACAACTGATGATACCAAGCTTTGAACATAGAATCTATTGAATATGTGGTGAACAACGTATACAACTCAACCATGATGTTCTTAATCTTTCTAGAGATTGGTTAATTTAGAAATAATTTTATTAATTTACCTGTCAGTTGTTGTTGTTCTTCAACTTTAATTCTTTTATTTGATTTTATTCCTATTGTTGAACGTCGTTGTTGATTTTGATTAATATCATCTGTAGATTCAGATAGAATATCATTTGATTTATTATTATTATCTATTGATGATAAAGATTTATTTGTTAATGATAATTGTTTTGGTTTTCGACCACGTCGTTTAGGTTCAATTGTTCGTTCTGTAGTGGTTATAACAACAGTAGTTGGTTTAGGACGTCGACCACGTTTAGCAGGTACATTTGTTGTTGTCCACATTGAATCATTATGAAATTGATGTGTTTGATGATTTAATGATATTATATTACCATGCGCAAGTGTAGTTGTTGAACTATTACCAGCACCAGCACCAGTTGCATCATCGATTTCATAATCACCTGATTCAACAAATGGAATATCTTCATCCAAATAAACAGAATTATCCATTAGTACATTATTAATCAAGTTTTTTTGAAGTAACTACAATATTTGTATTATTTGATGAATTTGGTATTAATCTATCTAATGAATTATATGATCGTGATCGACCGTGTGTTTCAATATTTGAAGCTAAAATAAATTGTAAAAATTGTTAAGAAATTCTTTTATTTTTTTGTATCAAATCAAACTTTTGAAATAATCATAAAGTGATTATTTCAAAATGGAATTTGATTTTTAGTTTTTCGAGATTTTAGACTCTACACAATTAAAATATCAAATTATGCAGAAACACGATCTCGAACCTATAAATTTTATATATTAATCAAATCGATTAAAATATCTTACGGGTTTTAGATAATTGTTGAATGATACTATAACCGTAACGATACCAAGCAAGAAAAATAGTAAGAAGAGCAATTGATAACCAAATAAATAAATAACAAGTAAGACGAAATTCGAAATCGACCTCTATTTTTGAAATTATTATTATTATTATTATTATTATTATTATGATTTTCTCTAAAATAAATAACAGAATAATATTTTTGACAAAAGAAAAACACGAATGAAAAATTAAGGTTTATTTATTTTGTTTTTTTTTCTATATTATATATGTTGACCAGTTTCTAGTTCAAATCGAGAGACAAAAACAAAGAAAAGAAGACGAATATAATTACCACACGCACAAGAAACATACATATACAGATAATAATATTTAGGTTTTTTCTATTCCATTGATGTATTTTCTTGTTCTTTATTATTATCTTCTTTCATACTTCGTTGAATATTTTCAAGAATACGTGTTGTTTCTTCATCATCATCATCAACATGAGTAGTAGTAGTAATTGAATCTGTACGACAATTATTACTACTACTACCATTTTGTTTGGAATTTGATGATGAATGTACAGGTGATCGGGAATCATGTCGATGACGATGATGTCGTCGTGATGGTGATGTTCGAGATCGAGAACGGCGATGACGACGTGATGAACCAGAACTAATTAATAGAAAAAAATAAAAACTAATTCTATAGTAATATATGAAAAAATAATAGAAATTCGATATTCATCATTTGTTCGCACTAACGACGGTTTTTTTTGTTCGGCTTGGATCACATGGATATGTCCAAATGTGGAACAAAAATCAATTATCAGATTATATTGTATTTTAAACTATGGACACAAAATTTATTTGATCAATAATTGAAAGAGCTGAAAACACTATTCTATGTAATAATTAGTTATATGGATTAAGACGCAAAAATCAGGACGATTCAATCGTTTATGTCTGTAGTGAAAAACTAAATTCGGAATATGCGTCATGTTTGAGGATGACAAATATCTTCACGATTTTAATAAATATTTCAATCTAATCATATGTGTTGTTTATTTCACAATTAAAAAGTGTTCGCAAATTAGAAATTACAATTCATTCAATAAGCTAATTACTTGTACAAATAATAAAAAATGACTCTCTGAACTTTTATGATCATCTCTGATTTATTCAATTAAACAATTACTAACTGACGCTTGCATTTATCGAAGAGAGTAACTTTTAAGTTGAAATAAATGATTGTTATGAAGTAACATAACTCATTTATCTTAAGAACATTTGAATATTTATATTACTTACCGTGATCGAGAACGTTTGTGACGTCGTCTATCTCTTGAACGTGAACGTGATGATCGATAACTATGTGAATGTTTTGATGAACGATGTCCAGATCTATAGAAATCATACAAAAATAAAGTATTGATTTATTTTTTTTTTGTTCTACCTTGATCGTGATCGTCGTCGATCTTTATCTCGACTAGAAACTTTTCTTGATCGACTACGACTTCGACTACGTTGTGATGTACGATAATCTCGATTATAATGATCATTTCCATCTCTTTCTCCACGATCATTTGTTGATGATGGTGAACTAAAAAAAAAGTAAATTAACAAAAATAAAAAATTATTAATCTTATTTTCATTATTTTATAATTTACTTTCGACGCATTTTTCTTTCTAATTCACGTTTTTCATTAAATTCACTGACACGTTTTTTTAAATCAGCTAATTTTTCACGTATTTGTATAAAACCCAAATGTAATTTTCCACCAAAATGATCAGCCAAACGACGATCATTATCATGTATACCTAAGTAAGCTGAACATACTTCACAAACACGTAATTTTTGTTGTTGATATGTTGATGCTGGCATTGTTGCACGAAATTCTTGTTCAGAATCAGATTTAGCTTTTCGTAATTCTTCAACTTCATCTAATAATTTCATTGATTCATCAACTAAACCTTGAGCACCTAATTCTTCAGCTTTAGCTAATTTTGTACCAATTTGTTCACCTAACTCATGAATAGAATTCATCTAAATAAAAAAAATATTTCTTTTATTAATATAAAGCATTTACAAAAAAAAAAAAAAAAGATAAGTTTTACTTTTCGTGCAGCTTCTTCACCTAATTCTTCTTGTGTTTCACGAAGTTTTCGTTTTGCATGTTCAGCTTTTCGATCAGCTTCAGCAACAAATTGATTTAATACTTCTAATGCCTAATATTCAAAAATTTCTTTCTTATCAATCAGATAAACAAAAAAAAAAAATTTCAATCTTACATCAATTTCATAATATAAATTACGTGTTGCTGCTGCTCGTTCATAATCAGCACGTAAAGCATATTCATGTACTTTAGCACATTCACCTAAATCAACTCTCTAATAAATCAAAAAGAAAAACAAGAAAACAAATTTATGTTGTTTTTATTTATTTCAATCATATAAAAATTAATTTACTGTTCCGGATAGAATTTCATGTGGACAACAATTTAATAAAAATGGTCGACATACACGACGATCTTCAAATGACATACTGGGTTTTGTCATACCTAAAATTTGATAAGAAGAATATTATTTTATTTTTAATTTAAAATTTTTTTCAATATATTATTCATCTAAATTCTCTCTTATAATACTTACCTGAAAAACTCCTCGGATATTTTTTAGATACATACCCTCGAATTTCTATTTTATCCAAAGGAGTTACTTTCTCGTTTTTGTTTTTTTTATTATACTCACGATATTTATTTTGTAGCTGCTGCTGCTGCTGCGAGTAAGACTTATAAAAGTCCATAACATGGACAAATTCATCATGACATTAGCTAAAAACATAGCGTTCAGAAAGAGATAGAGAGACAATTTTGTATGAGGGATGGAATTTTTAATCGACGATAGACAAAGAGAAAAACTAGAAAAAAAAACAAATAACACTCACGAGTTCGCCCAATGTTAAACATAGTAGGTAATCACAATCAATGAAAAGTGGACTCTCTGCGCCTTAAATGAAGAGAAACAGGGCGCTACTATTAAACAACACAAAATTTAATGATCAAAAAATGCATGCTCTCAAATTGTTCAAATTATTTTTCGAACTGAATAAAAATATTCTCCTTTTTTTTTTTGTTTTCTCCAAATTTTCTAATTAACATACCATTGTCAGATCCCATCAATTGATCTAACATGGCTCGAATTTGATCACGAGCAGTCATTATTGAAATAAGACAAATACAACAATCTGAAATTTTTAAAACAATATGAAATGTCATCGACATTGATGTAGCGCAGGTGGCGCCTCATCTATGAACGTATACGTATATTATATTCGATGACTGTCTTCCGTATCGTAAACGCGATACCTGCTTATTTTTTATTGTTTGAAAACACCATGACTATGTTTCTTTGTTGAAACATATGGTGGAGGTTTGACAAACGACACAAAAAAAAGTCATTGATTTAGATCTTTTTAATAGAATTCAATAGAAAATATTTGAAAAATTTCAAATTCTTACAATTAAATTTGATTTTGTTTTTTAAATATCAATATAGATGTCACCATCTATTGTCTTTAGTCATATGCTTTAACCCTTTGAGGATCAACGTACATTATAAAGTACATATAGCTCGCAAACGTAAAAAAGATATCGAGATGCAGTTTGTTCTTTGGCATGAATGAGACTTTTACACATACATCTATATAAGAATTATAACCCAAATGTGGTCACCCAGATCATAAGTCTGATGAGTTTTGGCATTTTATATCTAGGGGGAGTGCGTATAACGCCCTTTTGGAATCTTCAAAATATTTCGATTTTCAACGTTGGGATCAAGTTAGAAGTGACTTTTAATGATATTTCAAAGGTTGATCTTGCAATAGTTCTCTATCGAATTTTGACCCACAATCTGTATCCACCTATGGGAATGACCAAAATATCTCTTTGCCATTCTCGTAGGGAAGTACGAGTATCGTTCGAAAAGAACTTTAAAGATTTTTTAAAAGTTTTGATGATCATATCAACAATGCACACTGTCCATATTAATATAAAATCTCAAAGAAATTTCATCCATTGGTTGACCCAATGGTCCTCAAAGAGTTAATAGCAGTCAGTCAGACGTATTATAATAGAATAAATGTTGATTAATAAAAATTAAAACAATTAGAAAACTTCATTTTCTTTTAACTTGTATAACAAAGAATGACAAAACAAATATAAAAGATATCAATATTAATAACGCACAGATACATTATACATATATATATAAAGAATAAAATTAAGTTGTTCGTTTCTATGGATTTTGCTGCATTGAATATCTAATTGTAAACGTTGATATTTAAGTACAAGTGCATGATAATGTGTAATTATGAATTGAATGTTGCATGTTCTTCGCTTTTCATATTCAATATTTGTATCTTAACAATGATCCCTGACACGTCATTTGATTTAAGTTGAATAATTATATGGGTTCTGTTCAATTTATAACAATTCAAAAATGAATTTCTTAAATGACTAATCATGAAGATAAGTGAAGGCTTATCATCAAATAGGACCGAATCGGAGGGTAAATTCTTCCGCGTTTCTATGAACATGCAGATCCAAAAACTATCTTGATCTTGTTATCTGATTAAACATTATTAGTGTTGAGTATTAATTATCCAAACAAAACAGCTCTTCTATTCTTATTCACACAGTTCAAAGTAAAGAAAATTTTTCTTGCGTTAAAATAAGATTCATAATTAACATAAAAAACAAGTAATACTAGTTCATAATAAAATGAATTAATATCTATTCATTTGATTAAGAGAAAAGACATCTTTTCGTTAGCAACTATATGATGATGTGAATGTAGATTCATATGAACTATAACTATCGTTATCAGGATGACATTATAGTTTTATAAAAATGTATCACTCAAAATACAAATTAGTATTCAACTATTTATGAGGATGTAAGGCTGTTGAACTCTTACTAAGGTACTGCCACATTTCATATGAATCAACATGCTGAGAACTAGAAAAATCAGTCTATTCTTGACGAATCAAAACACCATCATTATTTCTATCCGATTAACCGAAAAAACATATCGATAATAACCATGAGTCATTTATATATGTAATATAATAATAATTAAACAATACCAAATGTTCGAATGCAATGATTTTTCCTAGTTTCATAAATGTAGATCTACAACATAAGTACTGAATGTAAATTTTTCTCATCACTCGAAACCTCTAGACACAAAGAGAAAAACAAGTTGTCATCGGATTGTTGACCTACATCATTACACTCATCATGTTCATTGACAAATGATATATTGCGTGTAGAGAACTGCAGATGTGATCTCGGTACAGACTTGGATCTCACCAGGTTTATACCAGCTTTTTTTAGCCGATAATTGATATTCTCTGTGTACATGAAGAATCAAGTTTTTAGCTATTGATTGATTGATTCCTCTTAGAAAATAATCAGTCTAAAGTTAAACTATAGTCGCAACATTGTACTTGGTAACGCTGACGTCAGTTCTTCTCTATTGGAACTCGAATTCGATCCAGTTGAGTCTGGAATGACCTACAACTCTGTAGTTGCACGTCTCACATCGTGTTTATTATATTGAAGGGTGAATGTATCGAACAACAGTTAATCACTTATATTATCTTTAGTTTTACTCTGATTACAAACAAATCTAGCATTGTTTTTCTCATTTGTTACCATTAAGAAGTATATGACCTTTAATATTTTTTGAATAAACATTAAGTACATAATGATCAAAGAAATTGTTCATTTCTTCATTTTCTATTCGATAGAATACTATAGTTATTCATCATATGTTAAAATACTTTTATCACTCTTTAATAATATAAGTTATATTGAAAAACATTACAATGATTTTTGAGTAAGATTACAAAACAAAAATAAGTCAAAATTAGATACTATGAGAGAAATATCGTACTTAAAGCGACACACAGGAGAATCAAAGAAGTAGTCTATTTTTTCTTGGGCTAAAATAAGAAATGACACACACACACACAACAAACATTTTTAGATTGTCCATTTTAATTTCAAGAAACATTCTAACTGTTGCCATTACTCGCGTTTTATTGTACGTGCGTATTCATTGGCTGCTAAAAAAAATATGGATGTATAAAATATTATCTTTTCAATAAATATATCTATATATTGACGTTACCATCTCGGGCACGTTGCTCAATTGTGGGACGAGACTTGAGTACAAGGGGACGCATAAGTTTGTTATACAACAATTGAGAACCACCTTTAGGTCCTGGTGCCATTAACCATATGAGAAAAAGACATTTACCAAGCCAATAGAAAGGTAAGGTATGAAAGAAATTATGTCCAATATATTCAATAAAACCAAATAAAGCATAAACAACCCAATAGATTAACCATTCTGTATCATCATTATGTGTTGTTTTTGATTCAATAGCCAATATCCTATGTAAATGAAAAAAAAACGAATTTATTTCTTTATATAAATTAAACAAAAAAAAAATCATAGCTTACGAAGCATAAGCCGGATAGATAAATCCCAAAAAATTACAAACAAAATCGTTAGCCCAACCAATTATTAAATAAATAGCAAGAAAACCAAATAAACCTAACCTCATGAAAGATAATAATTAGCTAATAAAAATAATAATAATTAAGAAATACCCAAAGCGATCTGTTCACGTTTAACAGGAACTTTCTTTTCAATAAGATCCCAATATGAACTAAGAGGACCTTTGTATAAGTATGGTTGAAGTTTTTGTTCAATTTTACGAATTTGAGTTTGAACTGCAGCTGCCATATTCGAATACTTTTGGGAGTCAAAATGTAACCTATGCAAAGAAAAAAAAACAAAACCACGTAGGCAGATGGTAGGAAGCAGACGAAGAAAAATAATCAAATGTATTGGCAAATCAAATGGACCAATAAAGAAATTTGACAGAATGTAAAGCACTGAACAAGTCAGGGGGGACGATAAAGAGTACTATTTCAATAAATGGAAGCTTGTTTATTTGATTAAAAAACTTTTGCATTAGGAAAAAAATTTTCAATTAAATAAATGTTAACCGTTTTCAAAGGGGTAAAATTTAATTCAGGAAAATTTTCGATTCCTTATGGTTTTTGGGAATTATAGATTTGAATAATAATCGATAATATCAACACACGCGATATTAAAAGTATTGAGAAACTCATTTTTAGTGTTGATATGAAAATACATTTTTTTCTCAAAAGGTCGAAAGATAAAATCAAGTTTTTCTTTTCATTGTATGCGGTGCTCTTAAATCGAAAACCTTTCTTGAATTATAAATAGTGAAAAATTTGATACTAGTTCTTTTAAGAAAAAACGTAAATATAACTCCTAATCTTGGCTGATTCGAAATTTTCTGTGCGCCTACCTCTTCAGTTCATCAGATTCTCAATGTGTCTGCTGTCTTCTCTTATTTAATATATGTTTTGTTTAACACGATAATATTAATTGAACCGTATTGATTACGTACAAAAATATCCAGAACAAACAACTAGAAATTGATTGTTATTTTAGTTACGCACTATTTCTGATAAAAATTTTTTTAAATATCAAAGTTTCAAGTTTTGAGTATGACTATTTCTTCTATTATTTTATTGCGCATCTAAATTCATTAGTATAGCCAATAGGAAATGAGAAAAGTTAAATAAAACATATAGAGCGGCGCTCACAGTCGACCTTATATTCAACAGATGAGTCTCTTCTCACCGTAAACGTAATGTGCTAGATAAAAAAATCCTAGAAATGATGTCCTTTGATTTGACTCAAAATTGATTGTACAATTCATTCAAAAATGTATGCTAATTTCGCATTATAAAATCAGGTATTTTATGATTTCAAAATGAAAACATATTACAAACATGTTTAAATTATAAAAGAAAGAAAAAAAAAAAGTTTGTCGAAGCACTGTACAAAATACACAATTTTTTATTATAAGATTTGCATGTAATTTTGTATGAATGGCACGATCAATTTTGAGCTAAATCAAAGAAAATGATTTCTAGTATCTTTTTATCTAGCACAGCAAGATTATGGTGGAATGAGATGATACTTGGAGAAAATAAATTATGGAATATAAGCTATAGTGTTCCAAAAACTAAACTTTAATACATTAAAATCACAGCTTTTTTGCGCAATCGGTGTTTTTGAGTATCTACACAAGAACTTTCGTTCCGATAGAACAATTTGAAGTATTTTTTTAATTCCATGTCCTTCATAGTCACATACACCGAAATGAGACTTATGTAAAGGAGACGCTGGTCTGAGAAAGGAAAGCAATGGAAAATGAAATGTCAGTAGGCAATCTTGTAGCTTGTATATCACTGTATCGAAACATGTGATTCATTGATCTATATATCTTTTCGTTTCTATACTTCTACTCTCGATGTTCGATGATAGACACTTTCTTTTTTTCATGTACAGTGACACAAAACCACCACCCCTGCAGGCTAGGAAAGTCTTGAATAGAAAACCAATATACCAAATAATAGAGAATTTTTTAAGTAACTTTTTGATATAAAATTGCTAATCGTTTTCTTATTTCTGTATTGGAAGAAAAAGCGATCGGAAGACCCAAAAAAAAAAATACTATATTCAGTTATTTTATACAGTGACATTTTGAAATTTGTTTGATCTATAACTCATGAACATTTGTTCTGATTCCATTCAAACTTTCAGACTATATAGAGCTCAAAAAGTTATATTAGTGGTAACAATTTCAATCTTCTACCTTTTAATATTCCTCATATATATTCAAATGATACCACAAATTGTTTAGTGACACTTTTTCTGCAGATATTTCCAATTAAACCAACTCAAAAAAAATTCTTTTCAGAAATAATTTAACTCACAAGAATTCGATAAACAAATCTGAATGTATTGTGAGTTGTTCTTGACTACTTACTTTACTTTTCATACAGAGCTGCAAAAATGATTCGAGCCTTTTTATCCAATAAAATCAATTTAATCTTTGTTGTATATATAACATAGACACAATGTATAATCGAATGTACTACTCAGAAATTGTTTACGTTTATTTTCATGCTTTCACACCATTTGCACTAAAATGTTGCAATTCACTCATATATATTCGAATAATGTTAATCTTGATGAATATAAAAACGATGATAATAAATAGGATACAAGATCCTTGAGATTTTGTCAAACTAATGATATTACTCCGATTCTAATACCTTTTCTTATCAATTAAATGCTACTTTCTAAGCTTTTTGAAATCATGTTGAACAATATTCTTAGGAAAAAATAATTTTCATGATTAAAATTAATAATAGATTAAAAACTCAACGAATATTTGTCTCCTTTTGCATCGTGAATAAAATCATACTGCTTTTTCATTCGTTGTCATAACTGATAAGCAAAATACTGTTAACATCGTCGTTGAATACATGTTTTTGTTAATTTACTACTCGAACACAAAGTATAAAAGTGTCTACCGCTTGTCAAAGAGCATAGTTATTTGTCATTAACCTTGTATTATTAGTGAATTATTCAAGGCTCATTTGTGCACTATGTGGTTGTTTACAAATTATGTTCAATTGTTTAATGAAACATATGTAGAATAAATTGTAACGATCTCATTTTTTATAATTTATCGATGAGATCAAAGCTGAATTAAGAAAAATACATTACAGTTTTTCATTCAGGCATATCTTTAGAGAAATGTTTAATGTAGATACTTTAGTTATTTAACACAGCAAAAGACTCACAAACTCTAAGCTCACTTATACAGTTTGGAAGATCTTGGACTAGAAATACTTTTTAAGATCAAGTAAAAATAATAAATTTTCATTAAAAATACTTTCAATCGATGTACATAATGTGTCGACATAGAATATACAAAAATGTAAAACCATCAATAAGTAAAAAGAAATCGTTTATTGCAATTTCAGCAATATTACTGAGTGCTATTGGATGATATAAGAGATGCATCAGTTTACAATCGACCAGCACATTATATAATGTTATTCAAGATGTTAACTATACTAGTATTTACTTATTATTCAATATTCAAACATTTTACTTGTAATCGTGTCTTCTTGATTGCGGATGTTTTGTTCTTAATTGGAGTAAAATAATGTCCGCAAAGCAGAATCGGGGGGAAGAAACAAAAATGACTGCAAACTGGAAAATGTCTGTATTATGGACACAATTGAAAATAATTACAAGAAGATGATCAGTGCAGATGGATTATTTCAGAGAGGATATTGTCTTATTAGAGCTAGCTCAGTGATGGACATCACGTGTTATCTAGATCATTGTTTTACATGTGCTTGTAACTAAAGTATTTAAAGCGACTGAAATAAAGTAAAATAAATTAAATCAAAATGTCGATCATTAGCTAGCATAGTATTTCTAAAATTACCACGCAATTTGGCAATAATGCCACAACGAGTAAAAACTCATTTTGGTGTGCGACGAACCAAAAAAAAATGGAAGTCAAGGATGAATTGGTATACATAAGTTATGTAATGTCACCATAACCATACATGAAGGTTCTATTGTAAAAACATCGTTTATAATAGTTGATGAAAATCATGAATTTCAACATCAAGAAAAAAAATGTCTTTAAATGTATATGAACGCATCAAATCCATCAAGCGAAGGATCGAAGAAGAACTTACAGCAGCGGTATCATTATTATATGACCAACAAGTTAAAAAATTTAGACGAAAAAATGTTAGTGCTGCTGTAGTTCCTGCATTTAATCGTGTTAATTCATCATTATATGAATATCGCTCGTCCCAACATCCACCAATACCTCTGTCATTACCAACAATTGATGTATCTGATCGACTTATTCGAACATTCCATTATGCGGTCATTTTCATCTCTCTCTCTCTCTCTCCAGATTCTGCTTTGCGAACATTTTTTCTTAATTGGCAAAAAAATGTGTCCACAATCAAGAATTAGCCCTTGTAATGTACAATAAATATGATTATGTTTTAAATTTCGTATAGTAAACAAAGTTTAATTTGTGTCATTGTATGCTAAATTTTAACTCTAAAGTTCTAGTTTTCTTGTGTTTTAAAATCCATTACATAGTATTGCCTACAATTTCAAAGTGCAATGCAGGTCAACATTAACATGACATTAAGAAGGTTGTCATTGATGGAAAGAACTAATCTTTATGATAATTTCAAGTAAACAACATAAAAGAGATAATAGTTAGAATAAACTATCAAATAGCATGCATTTTATTTTAACTTTGTTTCTTGTTTCTTTGTTGAAATTATCCACAAGTGAACTTCAAATTGTATGTTGATTTCCTTTTTTTGCTGTGTACTATATTTGTTATATACCACTCGAGGCTGCTTTTTCCTTCGTAAATTAAGATCGATGAAATGTCAATATGACATGATGTATATTTTGTTCGTCCATGCTTCAATAAAAAAGAAACTAAATATCTATGGACTGGATTGCCATATACGATGTTTTCTATTCATAATTTCGCACAAAGAGAAGAATCGACAAAAAGACGAGAAAAAAAATAGGTTAGTATATTAATGAATAAACAGATGCAAAGCGTTTTACTATCATGACAATAAACATTAATGTGTAACAAATGTTACTTATAAACTACTTCTTGACATCTTTTCTATCGAATGTATTCAGTAAGAGAAAATGTTTTTTAGGTCTAATGTAAACGTAAAGATGATTTTCTGAGTGCTCTTCTATTTAATCAGCTACATTTTTCACTAATTTATGTAAAGATATT